AATTACTTCAGGCATGTGCTGCTTAACTTTATACAGTTCACCCTGATGCACAGTAAAGCTTTGATTTAATTCTGCAACACACCTTGCTTTAATATCAAGTGCAAATCTATTCTTGAGATTGGCCTTCTTTGCACCAGAAAAAAGATCCGGACTAAATGTGCACCTTGTAATAGCCCGTTTCATAGTTGCTGATAAATGTCGAACATCACGAAGTGCTTCAACATTGATACCGTGAACTTGTTTGACACCTTGATATGATTTACTATCGCCATCAGTTGTTATATGGGAGATTTTCAAGTAATCACTGATCTCGGTTGCACAAGAACTACTGTATACTGCCTCATTACCATTGGAGGCATCTTCAGCTATATTTGCTGTGCACACACCTCCATGATTTGGACATATAATTTCAATACCCTTCCCTCTCAACCTAGTAGCAACACTACAGAGTTTATTACCCGTAAATAGTGACACAATTTGTTTGGTCGAAGTATTATTTTCCGACATTGTGCACACAACCTGAGTACCAGCTTGAAACGGTGTAGTGCCGCTATTTATGAGAGGGTTGTTATATCGACAGTCCGATTCAACTCTTACAAGTTTTTCATTAGATAGACCACATAATTTATTTTCCTCAACCAAATTTCTCCTTATGTCTTGCATACTTGCTTTATTCAATTCCTCTACCTGTTTTGCAACTTTGTTTGCAGTCTTTTGCATGCCAGATGAGGAAGGTGGAACCATATTAGAAATCATAAGAATGTCTCTAAAGTTTTTATTTGAGATCGGGGAAGTTATCAGACCACACTGAATCTGAATATTCAGCTTTGCTGACTTTGGACCTCTTTTGTTTGTTTCAACAACATCATACAATCTGTAATATTTGCTAACAAAATCACATATTTGGCATTTTAGCCTTTCACGCCAAACGCAACCCCACTGTTTTTCATTTTCTACATCAAATTTTAAGTCACCTTCACAATCTGAGTTATAAAGTATATGGTTTCTAATTTCAGAATTGAAAAGTGATTCTACATTGTTAGGAGTGTACAATTTATTGGGACAAGCATCAGAAGAGTTATTAGCAGCCTGAAGGTACTTGTCAACTACATCAAGATTCTGGGGCTTTGGCCGAAGGATGACCTGTTCGACAGGAGTTCCATCAACATTTTCAATTGTCAATATACCATTTGAACTTTGTCTTACTCTGCGGTCAAAGACACTTTGAGAATGCCGACAAAACTGATTTTTCTTAGATATTTTGATAAATTCAATTTTTTTACCTTTATTCCAAGGGACATAACCCTTTTTGAAACCATGAATTTTTGACAACTTACTTCTTTTGCGAGTCATTATTCCCCTTAAAACTGCTTGAACTGACTTCTTCTGCTTGTCAAATTGTAGTCAAACTATTACTCTCCAATAAAAACCATTAGAATATGTACAATATTTTATTTTTTAACAATTATAGCCTTAAATTAGACCCCTACCTCTGTTCTGATACATGGTTTAGAATTTATACCTGCTGAGGCAAATACATCCTGAGAGCTGATTATTAATTGGATTTAAAGTGACATATGGTATTTTAATCTCAAGATAAATTATTCTTTCCATTTAACAACTTTTTATTTTAACAAAAATAGTTGATTGGCAATAAAATTGGCATAAGATCTGGAACTTTAACATTTTTTAACAAAAATTTCAAAATAAAATCAATTTAATTTAAATTTAAATGATATATTTTTAGAATTTTATTGGCTAGTTTGATGAGGTAAGGCATACGGTGAGCTAATAATGAGAAAAAATTACACTTTAAACCTTTTTAGACATTCAATTTTGATGATCAATGTGTCTGGTGAACTACCAAATTTTAAAGACTTTTGTAATGAGAATCAGCAGAAATAGGGGACTTAGTTTTTTCAATTTTTTTCAGTAACCGTCTAATATAAACAAGTGAAATTTTAAAAACATACTCAGAAATGATTGTGGAACATGACTGATGCATTGAAATCCTGTTATTTGAGCAAAAGTGCTGTTATAGGTATAGAACCACTAATTCGGGCCCGGTCTGAAAGAACATACAAGAAAGTAGTACATATTTCAAACAAAATAGTTCCTACGCATAGCTGTAACTTTTAAAATTTGTAAAATATCTGGGTAATTTTGGTATCAAATGAAAGCTGAATGACTGTGGACCATTGTAGAACCTTTGTGGAATGATTATATCAAATAATAAAAAAGTTTTATGAAATTGAAACAGGAGGGCATTTATTGCCTGATTCTCAGATCTGAAGTACCTGTTTTTGTACTTCCGAACTTCCGGGAACCAGTGCGGTCTTATATGCAATTAAAGGTATGATGATTTTTCCAGCAAGGGTAACCAGAAAGTATTGTTTTGACATGGAATGAGTGTCACTTTATTTGAACTTAAAACGAAAGAGCTGTGAAAGCTTGAAATTAAGGAATTTAACATAGAAAGCAATGGGACCATTAATTAGTGGTTTTATTTCTAATACAGGAATCTGCACGTGCACCCTTGACATTGAGGTAAAAAATTTGAATATTTTTCTGAATATTTTGAATGATTTATCAAAAATGAATATTGAGCAGTGGAAAACCATGCAAAAAGAGAGAATTTTCAATAGTATTACAGTGCATGGTCCACACAACTGTTGGACCTGTGATCTGGGAGGGAAGGGGCAAAAATATTCAACCCTGTCTGTAAAAATGCCATGGGAAGAGAAGAAAAAAACTGTCCTTAGCCATAGATTTGCATACATGATCTTCAATAACAATTTTGAACTGTCAGAACATTTAATGGATGTGTCACATTTATGTCACCAACCCCATTGTGTGAACCCTGGGCACCTGTCTTATGAACCACATCATGTGAATATGGACCGACAAGTTTGCAGTGGAATTTATCCACTGCGCTGTAAAAAGCACGAACCGTACAAAGACTGCATGTTATAAAATCTGTAAAGGTAGAAATAAAAGTAAAATTAACAATCCATATACAGAATATTCAATATTTACAAGTAATTTTATACAATCAAACAGGGCATGCTGAAAATTAATGCTTTCTGGGTTGTCGCTTTGGATATGACTTGTCATGGGTAACACACATTCTTTTCATACAATTTTTATCATAATTTGGATCAGCCATGCCTTTGCGATAAAATACAGGCTGCGAATAATGTATCGAAGCATGCAAACGATACTTTCTGTTTCGACTGATCGCACGTTTCAACTTTGCAACATGACTGCGTCGATATTTGTACATGTATAATTCATGCCTATCTCTCTGTTTCAGATTCATGAGTACTTTTGGTGCTGTGATTTTAACACCAAGCTCTTCAGTGAGCAGGAGAAGAGAATTTGCAAATCTATGATTTCTCATGTGAACTGCAGCATGTGCACGTCCTGGGAAATTTCTGGAAAAAGTCACATTCTTCGGATTGCAACGACTTAGTGCACGATTGAATGCTTCACTTTTTTGTGTCGAGGTAAGAAACCGTACAATATTTAAACTATTGGTACCGAGTAAAATTCTTATACAGTTTTCAACTTTGACTTCATCATCACATGTCATTCTACATGTGCTACCGTTTGGAATAAAAATTTTTATCCAATGATTTGAAGGCAAACCAGCACACACATAGGAGTTAACCTTACAAGAGGATCCACAATAACCTTTGTAGCACATTATTATAGTTTTAATTACTTCGGGCATGTGCTGCTTAACTTTATACAGTTCACCCTGATGCACAGTAAAGCTTTGATTTAATTCTGCAACACACCTTGCTTTAATATCAAGTGCAAATCTATTCTTGAGATTGGCCTTCTTTGCACCAGAAAAAAGATCCGGACTAAATGTGCACCTTGTAATAGCCCGTTTCATAGTTGCTGATAAATGTCGAACATCACGAAGTGCTTCAACATTGATACCGTGAACTTGTTTGACACCTTGATATGATTTACTATCGCCATCAGTTGTTATATGGGAGATTTTCAAGTAATCACTGATCTCGGTTGCACAAGAACTACTGTATACTGCCTCATTACCAATGGAGGCATCTTCAGCTATATTTGCTGTGCACACACCTCCATGATTTGGACATATAATTTCAATACCCTTCCCTCTCAACCTAGTAGCAACACTACAGAGTTTATTACCCGTAAATAGTGACACAATTTGTTTGGTCGAAGTATTATTTTCCGACATTGTGCACACAACCTGAGTACCAGCTTGAAACGGTGTAGTGCCGCTATTTATGAGAGGGTTGTTATATCGACAGTCCGATTCAACTCTTACAAGTTTTTCATTAGATAGACCACATAATTTATTTTCCTCAACCAAATTTCTCCTTATGTCTTGCATACTTGCTTTATTCAATTCCTCTACCTGTTTTGCAACTTTGTTTGCAGTCTTTTGCATGCCAGATGAGGAAGGTGGAACCATATTAGAAATCATAAGAATGTCTCTAAAGTTTTTATTTGAGATCGGGGAAGTTATCAGACCACACTGAATCTGAATATTCAGCTTTGCTGACTTTGGACCTCTTTTGTTTGTTTCAACAACATCATACAATCTGTAATATTTGCTAACAAAATCACATATTTGGCATTTTAGCCTTTCACGCCAAACGCAACCCCACTGTTTTTCATTTTCTACATCAAATTTTAAGTCACCTTCACAATCTGAGTTATAAAGTATATGGTTTCTAATTTCAGAATTGAAAAGTGATTCTACATGTTTAGGAGTGTACAATTTATTGGGACAAGCATCAGAAGAGTTATTAGCAGCTGAAGGTACTTGTCAACTACATCAAGATTCTGGGGCTTTGGCCGAAGGATGACCTGTTCGACAGGAGTTCCATCAACATTTTCAATTGTCAATATACCATTTGAACTTTGTCTTACTCTGCGGTCAAAGACACTTTGAGAATGCCGACAAAACTGATTTTTCTTAGATATTTTGATAAATTCATTTTTTTTACCTTTATTCCAAGGGACATAACCCTTTTTGAAACCATGAATTTTTGACAACTTACTTCTTTTGCGAGTCATTATTCCCCTTAAAACTGCTTGAACTGACTTCTTCTGCTTGTCAAATTGTAGTCAAACTATTACTCTCCAATAAAAACCATTAGAATATGTACAATATTTTATTTTTTAACAATTATAGCCTTAAATTAGACCCCTACCTCTGTTCTGATACATGGTTTAGAATTTATACCTGCTGAGGCAAATACATCCTGAGAGCTGATTATTAATTGGATTTAAAGTGACATATGGTATTTTAATCTCAAGATAAATTATTCTTTCCATTTAACAACTTTTTATTTAAACAAAAATAGTTGATTGGCAATAAAATTGGCATAAGATCTGGAACTTTAACATTTTTTAACAAAAATTTCAAAATAAAATCAATTTAATTTAAATTTAAATGATATATTTTTAGAATTTTATTGGCTAGTTTGATGAGGTAAGGCATACGGTGAGCTAATAATGAGAAAAAATTACACTTTAAACCTTTTTAGACATTCAATTTTGATGATCAATGTGTCTGGTGAACTACCCAATTTTAAAGACTTTTGTAATGAGAATCAGCAGAAATAGGGGACTTAGTTTTTTCAATTTTTTTCAGTAACCGTCTAATATAAACAAGTGAAATTTTAAAAACATACTCAGAAATGATTGTGGAACATGACTGATGCATTGAAATCCTGTTATTTGAGCAAAAGTGCTGTTATACAGGAATCTGCACGTGCACCCTTGACATTGAGGTAAAAAATTTGAATATTTTTCTGAATATTTTGAATGGTTTATCAAAAATGAATATTGAGCAGTGGAAAACCATGCAAAAAGAGAGAATTTTCAATAGTATTACAGTGCATGGTCCACACAACTGTTGGACATGTGATCTGGGAGGGAAGGGGCAAAAATATTCAACCCTGTCTGTAAAAATGCCATGGGAAGAGAAGAAAAAAACTGTCCTTAGCCATAGATTTGCATACATGATCTTCAATAACAATTTTGAACTGTCAGAACATTTAATGGATGTGTCACATTTATGTCACCAACCCCATTGTGTGAACCCTGGGCACCTGTCTTATGAACCACATCATGTGAATATGGACCGACAAGTTTGCAGTGGAATTTATCCACTGCGCTGTAAAAAGCACGAACCGTACAAAGACTGCATGTTATAAAATCTGTAAAGGTAGAAATAAAAGTAAAATTAACAATCCATATACAGAATATTCAATATTTACAAGTAATTTTATACAATCAAACAGGGCATGCTGAAAATTAATGCTTTCTGGGTTGTCGCTTTGGATATGACTTGTCATGGGTAACACACATTCTTTTCATACAATTTTTATCATAATTTGGATCAGCCATGCCTTTGCGATAAAATACAGGCTGCGAATAATGTATCGAAGCATGCAAACGATACTTTCTGTTTCGACTGATCGCACGTTTCAACTTTGCAACATGACTGCGTCGATATTTGTACATGTATAATTCATGCCTATCTCTCTGTTTCAGATTCATGAGTACTTTTGGTGCTGTGATTTTAACACCAAGCTCTTCAGTGAGCAGGAGAAGAGAATTTGCAAATCTATGATTTCTCATGTGAACTGCAGCATGTGCACGTCCTGGGAAATTTCTGGAAAAAGTCACATTCTTCGGATTGCAACGACTTAGTGCACGATTGAATGCTTCACTTTTTTGTGTCGAGGTAAGAAACCGTACAATATTTAAACTATTGGTACCGAGTAAAATTCTTATACAGTTTTCAACTTTGACTTCATCATCACATGTCATTCTACATGTGCTACCGTTTGGAATAAAATTCTTTATCCAATGATTTGAAGGCAAACCAGCACACACATAGGAGTTAACCTTACAAGAGGATCCACAATAACCTTTGTAGCACATTATTATAGTTTTAATTACTTCAGGCATGTGCTGCTTAACTTTATACAGTTCACCCTGATGCACAGTAAAGCTTTGATTTAATTCTGCAACACACCTTGCTTTAATATCAAGTGCAAATCTATTCTTGAGATTGGCCTTCTTTGCACCAGAAAAAAGATCCGGACTAAATGTGCACCTTGTAATAGCCCGTTTCATAGTTGCTGATAAATGTCGAACATCACGAAGTGCTTCAACATTGATACCGTGAACTTGTTTGACACCTTGATATGATTTACTATCGCCATCAGTTGTTATATGGGAGATTTTCAAGTAATCACTGATCTCGGTTGCACAAGAACTACTGTATACTGCCTCATTACCAATGGAGGCATCTTCAGCTATATTTGCTGTGCACACACCTCCATGATTTGGACATATAATTTCAATACCCTTCCCTCTCAACCTAGTAGCAACACTACAGAGTTTATTACCCGTAAATAGTGACACAATTTGTTTGGTCGAAGTATTATTTTCCGACATTGTGCACACAACCTGAGTACCAGCTTGAAACGGTGTAGTGCCGCTATTTATGAGAGGGTTGTTATATCGACAGTCCGATTCAACTCTTACAAGTTTTTCATTAGATAGACCACATAATTTATTTTCCTCAACCAAATTTCTCCTTATGTCTTGCATACTTGCTTTATTCAATTCCTCTACCTGTTTTGCAACTTTGTTTGCAGTCTTTTGCATGCCAGATGAGGAAGGTGGAACCATATTAGAAATCATAAGAATGTCTCTAAAGTTTTTATTTGAGATCGGGGAAGTTATCAGACCACACTGAATCTGAATATTCAGCTTTGCTGACTTTGGACCTCTTTTGTTTGTTTCAACAACATCATACAATCTGTAATATTTGCTAACAAAATCACATATTTGGCATTTTAGCCTTTCACGCCAAACGCAACCCCACTGTTTTTCATTTTCTACATCAAATTTTAAGTCACCTTCACAATCTGAGTTATAAAGTATATGGTTTCTAATTTCAGAATCGAAAAGTGATTCTACATGTTTAGGAGTGTACAATTTATTGGGACAAGCATCAGAAGAGTTATTAGCAGCCTGAAGGTACTTGTCAACTACATCAAGATTCTGGGGCTTTGGCCGAAGGATGACCTGTTCGACAGGAGTTCCATCAACATTTTCAATTGTCAATATACCATTTGAACTTTGTCTTACTCTGCGGTCAAAGACACTTTGAGAATGCCGACAAAACTGATTTTTCTTAGATATTTTGATAAATTCAATTTTTTTACCTTTATTCCAAGGGACATAACCCTTTTTGAAACCATGAATTTTTGACAACTTACTTCTTTTGCGAGTCATTATTCCCCTTAAAACTGCTTGAACTGACTTCTTCTGCTTGTCAAATTGTAGTCAAACTATTACTCTCCAATAAAAACCATTAGAATATGTACAATATTTTATTTTTTAACAATTATAGCCTTAAATTAGACCCCTACCTCTGTTCTGATACATGGTTTAGAATTTATACCTGCTGAGGCAAATACATCCTGAGAGCTGATTATTAATTGGATTTAAAGTGACATATGGTATTTTAATCTCAAGATAAATTATTCTTTCCATTTAACAACTTTTTATTTAAACAAAAATAGTTGATTGGCAATAAAATTGGCATAAGATCTGGAACTTTAACATTTTTTAACAAAAATTTCAAAATAAAATCAATTTAATTTAAATTTAAATGATATATTTTTAGAATTTTATTGGCTAGTTTGATGAGGTAAGGCATACGGTGAGCTAATAATGAGAAAAAATTACACTTTAAACCTTTTTAGACATTCAATTTTGATGATCAATGTGTCTGGTGAACTACCCAATTTTAAAGACTTTTGTAATGAGAATCAGCAGAAATAGGGGACTTAGTTTTTTCAATTTTTTTCAGTAACCGTCTAATATAAACAAGTGAAATTTTAAAAACATACTCAGAAATGATTGTGGAACATGACTGATGCATTGAAATCCTGTTATTTGAGCAAAAGTGCTTTTATTACAGGAATCTGCACGTGCACCCTTGACATTGAGGTAAAAAATTTGAATATTTTTCTGAATATTTTGAATGATTTATCAAAAATGAATATTGAGCAGTGGAAAACCATGCAAAAAGAGAGAATTTTCAATAGTATTACAGTGCATGGTCCACACAACTGTTGGACCTGTGATCTGGGAGGGAAGGGGCAAAAATATTCAACCCTGTCTGTAAAAATGCCATGGGAAGAGAAGAAAAAAACTGTCCTTAGCCATAGATTTGCATACATGATCTTCAATAACAATTTTGAACTGTCAGAACATTTAATGGATATGTCACATTTATGTCACCAACCCCATTGTGTGAACCCTGGGCACCTGTCTTATGAACCACATCATGTGAATATGGACCGACAAGTTTGCAGTGGAATTTATCCACTGCGCTGTAAAAAGCACGAACCGTACAAAGACTGCATGTTATAAAATCTGTTAAGGTAGAAATAAAAGTAAAATTAACAATCCATATACAGAATATTCAATATTTACAAGTAATTTTATACAATCAAACAGGGCATGCTGAAAATTAATGCTTTCTGGGTTGTCGCTTTGGATATGACTTGTCATGGGTAACACACATTCTTTTCATACAATTTTTATCATAATTTGGATCAGCCATGCCTTTGCGATAAAATACAGGCTGCGAATAATGTATCGAAGCATGCAAACGATACTTTCTGTTTCGACTGATCGCACGTTTCAACTTTGCAACATGACTGCGTCGATATTTGTACATGTATAATTCATGCCTATCTCTCTGTTTCAGATTCATGAGTACTTTTGGTGCTGTGATTTTAACACCAAGCTCTTCAGTGAGCAGGAGAAGAGAATTTGCAAATCTATGATTTCTCATGTGAACTGCAGCATGTGCACGTCCTGGGAAATTTCTGGAAAAAGTCACATTCTTCGGATTGCAACGACTTAGTGCACGATTGAATGCTTCACTTTTTTGTGTCGAGGTAAGAAACCGTACAATATTTAAACTATTGGTACCGAGTAAAATTCTTATACAGTTTTCAACTTTGACTTCATCATCACATGTCATTCTACATGTGCTACCGTTTGGAATAAAATTCTTTATCCAATGATTTGAAGGCAAACTAGCACACACATAGGAGTTAACCTTACAAGAGGATCCACAATAACCTTTGTAGCACATTATTATAGTTTTAATTACTTCAGGCATGTGCTGCTTAACTTTATACAGTTCACCCTGATGCACAGTAAAGCTTTGATTTAATTCTGCAACACACCTTGCTTTAATATCAAGTGCAAATCTATTCTTGAGATTGGCCTTCTTTGCACCAGAAAAAAGATCCGGACTAAATGTGCACCTTGTAATAGCCCGTTTCATAGTTGCTGATAAATGTCAAACATCACGAAGTGCTTCAACATTGATACCGTGAACTTGTTTGACACCTTGATATGATTTACTATCGCCATCAGTTGTTATATGGGAGATTTTCAAGTAATCACTGATCTCGGTTGCACAAGAACTACTGTATACTGCCTCATTACCAATGGAGGCATCTTCAGCTATATTTGCTGTGCACACACCTCCATGATTTGGACATATAATTTCAATACCCTTCCCTCTCAACCTAGTAGCAACACTACAGAGTTAATTACCCGTAAATAGTGACACAATTTGTTTGGTCGAAGTATTATTTTCCGACATTGTGCACACAACCTGAGTACCAGCTTGAAACGGTGTAGTGCCGCTATTTATGAGAGGGTTGTTATATCGACAG